TATGAATGTATAGTGTATAAGTGTGTTCCCATGTTTGCCGATGATACCAATATCATTCTTTCTGCCGATAACCTGAATGACCTCCAAGTCACAATGAGCTCTGAGCTTCATAATCTTAATTGTTGGTTAAAGACAAACAGACTTAGTCTTAACATAGCGAAGACAGAGTTCATGGTGATTGGTTCATGGCAAAAGCTTTCGGCATTAGGCAATCAGATCAAATTGAAATAGAGTTAATCATACAAAATGCTTAGGGCTCTCATTGACGACAGACTGTTTTGGATTCGTCATATCGACGAAATTTCTAAAAAGATCGCTTCAGGAATCAGTGCATTAAGAAGAGTGAGACCGTTTATCTCCACGAAAACTGCAGTTACGATTTACAAAGCCTTAATCCTTCCGCACATGGACTATTGCTGCCAGGTGTGGGAAAGACTAAGTAGCTATTTATCGGACAAACTACAAAAACTGCAAAATCGTGCCAGCAGAGTGATCACCAAAAGTAACTATGAAACTAGGACTGATACCCTCCTTGACTTTTTACAATGGGATAATCTTCAAGCCCGCCGCAAAAAGCTTAAAGCATTAATAACGATGTATAATTCAATAATTAAAAATTCATTAATAATGCATTAGCATTTGAACCAATTGGAGCGACCATACATGTCACGTCTTTATATAAAGAATACTAATGAGGATGAGATTTTATATAAAGACTCATCCTTATTAGTATTCTTTATATAAAGAGTACTAATGTGGACAACCTTATCAGAATAATAAAGGTGCATCCAAGTTTAGATGAAGACTTAGCCTCATCAAGTTCAGTCTCACGTACGATCATCGACGACCCATAAATCATCGTCGACTAGTGCTCCTGTCTTGAGTTCGGCATGTTGTCTCCAACTTCTGGGAGCATTTTTTGCACTTACTGCGCATGGCAGTGATGTACAAACCTTACTGCGCATGAAATTGCTGTACAAACGATTATCAAAGTATAAAAGTCAATGTCCACGAGGTATATGGTTGCTTTAATTTAACTGAAATTTGTGAATTATACTTAAAGTTTTTGAAGCCGTTTAATAAACACTACATCATTTATTAAACACTACATAGGCTCACCCCGGAGTATTTGAATGAATTGTTCTTCCCAAATATAACTAAATATGAGTTACGTAATCATGAAGTCAAACAAGTCCTACCCGTACCGCGCACCAATTACCTAAAACGATCTTTCAGCTATAGTGGTGCCGATTTATGGAATAGGTTGCCCAAACAAGTAAGAAACGCTGGTTCATTAGCTGAATTTAAGAGCAAACTGAGCCACGTTTCATTATAATTCATCGGATTCGCACACGGCAATCTTGTAAAACACTATATGTATGTATGTGTGTGTGTGT